TCTGTGTCCAGCTAGTGTTGTGCAGGCCATTGTTTTGGGAACCTTTTAATCTGATGTTTTCCCTTGCCTTTCCTGTGAGCTTTGTGTTGTGTACCCTTCACCAATGGGTACCTGTTCAAATACAGCTGTGTTTTGTGGAGCTTAACTTCTAATAGCTCTTGTCATTAGGAAATTGTCCTGAGGCTCAGCCTTACCTTTTTATTCTTTTAACTTTTTGGCTTCTTTCAAAATCAATCTTGTATTTCAGGGAAAAGCATATTCTAATTCTCTGCCCTCCATACATGGACTGTTCCAAGATAAGGGATGATTTTTGTTTGCCTCTACACTGTAGGTGTTCCCCACTTCTAGTAACTTAGTTTAATTTAAACAAACTAGAAGAGCACTGACTCAAACTGTCTTTCAGGATACGACTTTGCACAAGCGTTACTGAAAGTGAGGTAGCTCGAGCCAAGAACCTTCTTAAAACAAATATGCTGCTACAGCTAGATGGTAAGGTGTATACTGTTATTTTTTTTAGGTTCTAATTCTTTTCTTATGTTGATAATTAGAGGATTTTTCCTGTACTAGGATCCACTCCAATCTGTGAGGACATTGGACGACAGATGTTGTGTTACAATCGCAGAATTCCAATTCCTGAACTTGAAGCAAGAATTGAAGTAAGCACTAAACCTGTTTTATTTTCAAAATGAAATGTATTAATATTTCAGCTTCACTGTAGTGAGATGACATCTGTGTCAGTTTTAGCCTTCTAGAAAGACTCATCCATCTGATTAATTACAGCTCTGGAACTACTTTGATACGTAATTAATTTGAGTGCTTGCTTTTAATATGTTTTTTTAGATAGGACTGGTGATTAATTTCTCTCTCTCTCTTTTAAAAAAAACAAACAAAAAAACCCCAACAAAAAACCTTTTAGGCTATTGATGCCCAGGTCATACGAGAAATTTGCACAAAGTACATTTACGAGAAGTGCCCTGCCATTGCGGCTGTAGGTAAGTTTGTTTTCCTTTTTAACTTCCTGACCTCTCTGAGCAATACAATGAATGAATACTGTGACTGACTCTTCTTTTTAATTTCTAGGTCCAATTGAACAGCTCCCCGATTATAACAAAATCTGTAGTGGCATGTACTGGCTTCGTGCTTAGGAACATTTTGGGATAAAAGTTTCCAAAAGCAGTTCTTTATGAAGACAAAGTAGAGATGGTGTCACAAGGCTGGTAAATGGATAAGTTTGGACTGCTTTCTTCAGACAAATGAGCCAGAAAGGCAGTCAGGAAGTATAAGGAAACCATTATAATTTCAAGCTTCTAGATGCTACTTTAAAAAAAATAATTTGGGGGTATTGTTGACTGTTTTGGTTCATGTAACTGGACAAACAAGTCTGACCAGAGGTTAAGAACAGATTTTGGAAAATTATACATGAGTGCCACCACACTTACTCCCTTATAAGCATAATAACCACGGTAAAGAATGAAAACATGTACAGTATTTGCATTTTTATTATAAAACAGAAAACAAAGATTGTCAGTAAGAGTCATTTCTTGGCTTTAGTAGCATTCAACACTTGTTCTTGGGCTGCTTTCTTTGCTTTAACCATTTCAACAAGTTCCTGAGGGTAAAAGGAGAAGAAAAAGTTCAATTTGCACATTCTGACAACTAATCTTTACATAAAAATGTATTTTGTCACACCTACGTTTTTCTAACAAGTTATGCTAAGAATTCAGAGCTATGGATATGCTGCATGTCCAAACTTAAGGTATGATTTAACCTTTATTCACATCTGTGATGTTAGCAGGACACAAAATGCAATATCTTTGTCCCTTTCTCTAACTTCCTACCTTCACCAGTACTATTAACTTATGTTTAAAAGGATGACTAGAATGCATGTTTTTCCTGACCAGGGTGAATGTGATTTAAATCGAATTGATTTACATCACTGGGCAGGAAGCCAGTGGGTAGAGTGGTTTTCTTTAATCTTTACTAATCTATAGAGAAGCTTCTGGGAACCCCCTAAGACTGAGACCCTACTATAGTCGCTTACCACTATATCAGTAGAGTACATCAGGAGCTTGGTTAACAACTGTTCACTAGGGCACCCCTGGGGAAGACTAGGACTAATGGATACAACTCCTTCACAGTCAGGGTGTCCAGACTGTGGAATAAACTCCCTCCATAAGTGGTGCAGTCACCTACCCTGGAGGTTTGCAAGAGAAGACTGGACAGTCACCCCACTGGGGTCACTTGACCACAGTTATCTTCCTGCCTAGAGCAGGGGGCCTGGACCCACCCGATAATTTGCAAGGTGCCTTCCAGCCCCTAACAATCTATGTAACTTATTCCTATTTCTCTACTGATGCTGACCACACTAGCATTTTAGAGGCATTACTTCTGATTTAGATATATCCTTGTTGCTACTTCTGCTGTCTGACTTTTCTGAGCTTTTTCATGAATTACCAATGCTGAACCTGTAGATCACAGTACCTAAAGCCAGTTAGCATCTTGCAGCATTATCACACAACTATAGGAAAGCAGGATATCTTACCTTATATCGCTTCATGCAGTCTTTTTTTGACCGACCTGGGACAGCAGCTGCTATTTTCTCCCACCTTTCAGGGGTATTTACTGGATATGTCTTCAGAGCTTGTTCTAAAAGTTTTTGTTCTTCTGTAGTCCAAGGGGATGAATCTGTAACTGGTCCTGTTTGAGGAAAAAGGGATTCCTGGCTCAGTAGGTTTTTTCAAGTATGAGACTTCTTTTGTGATGAGACTAGTGTTAAAATGATTTCTACAGATGTGTACTACTAAAGTTCCTGGAGCAAAGGTGTCTAAACTCCGTTTCATTTCAAGAAAGAAATACTTAAAACATTCCAAACAAAGGCTTGGACCCTTCCCTGCCAAAGATGATGTTAGGTGAAAGATTCTGGGGCTCAGAGCCAAGCTGGGAGGAGTTGTTGTCTCCGTTTCTGCAGTGGATCCCATGCATCTTTAGCGACAACTATTAGCTATGGCTGCTGTCCCAGGGGGAAAGCATGCTCTACAAAAAACCTAATTTGCCATGCGTGGAAGGCCAACATGTGCTGGAAACCTGTTAAGGCCATCCAAATTCAGAACTTGGGCTACAGTCTTTTACCAAACTAAGTTACAAAGAAGAGTACTCTGGAGGGCTGAAAATATTTCTCTTTCATCCTTACCCTCAAACCGCTCTGAAGGTGCAGCATTGTCCAGCTGAGGCACTGCTCCATGGTCCTTTTTAAACTTATCAAAAGCCTTCTTGTTTATGTCATCCTTCTGATGAGGGTCTGAGGGTAACAGAGATGTATTTAGTTGGCATAATTACCACAAAGCAAAGTTTAACATTCAGTAGTGTATACAGCTCATAACAGAAACACTCATATATACTGAGCACAACTCTACTAATCCGTTTTATTTCAAACCTTAGTATGAGGCTGATAGGTGAAGCCTCTGTGATCTTTATGCATATTAGGTTCAGTTTTTGAATTTTTTTAGTTCTATTATAGGTTTATACAGCTCTATCAGAATACCTTCAAGGGAGTTGGTCTGGTCCTGAAGCCCTTACACAAAGCTGAGTGGAGTTATTCCCATAAGGGAGGTCTTTAAACATTTCATGTCTTTACTGAAAAAGTGTTACCCAGATGGTCTACATGGCTAAGCAGTTCATCAGGAATACTGTGAAATAGTAGGACTCTCATGCCAATATATCAGTACATTCTCAAGGTAAAGTGACTGAGAAACTCTTAATCCCTACTGCAAAATGGAGCTGGAGGAAAATAATATTTGGAAGGAAACTTAACAGATGAATGAATTATCAGGCACTGGCATCTCTGTGGTAGCTGCCATGTAGCTGCTCCTAGCTGAGTGAAAACTAAACCAGGGTAGCTTACCCCTGACTCAGTTATCTTTCACTTCCCATGGTGTAGTAATGGCTGATATGATAAAGTCCATTCTCCTCTTATCTTGGAATAATTCATTAACCACACCCCTAGCGCTTTACTAGAGTAAATATTTTCAGTGTGACTGGTGTACAGGGTAACATCATGGTATTTCTGTTGCTGGAAGTTGCCCTGAAGTCTTGTACTGAACTGCATCTGCACTTTGCAGCAGTGCAGCTGTTTCATAAGATATGAAATAAGATCTCTATCTTTCCACTCAGGAGGCATGTGTTTGCTAACACGAATGTTCTCTTCCCTTCTTGGAGATGGAACCAACTTGGGAACAGACAACAAACGGTGTTTTTGAAAGGAAAGTTAAAGTTATTACATAAACACAAAAGTACACAGACCATCTCACAAAGATAATAAAGATACCAAGTTTCTGGAGGCTCTTTGCTTTATTGATGACATCTTTTGCTGTGCGTTTTATTCCAGTAGTAGAGTGCAAGTTCATATAATTGGCAATAACTTCCCACCTACATGAAGATGGGAGGTGGGTGGGGAGGGACAAAGAGATGAGAAAAAACTTTAAATAATGCAGAGTATATACTACAGTGTTAAAAATTAATCTCTTAAATGCTCTTCAGACAAGCTCAAGTAAATACACTCAGAAGTAGGTCTAACCCTGGGCACTCAGTGCTGTGGAAGCAGTCCACTCTATTTAAGTAGTGAATAGTATACCAAGTATTCACAGCACAATGCTCTGTAATGCAAAATGTTCACAGTGAGTTTACATAGGCTGGGGGTTGAGGTGCTTCTCAGAGAAGGGAGATGCTGGTTTGAATCCCTTTAGACAGAGCAGAGAGGTGAGCCAAGGCCTCCAGCATCCTCTGAGAGCTCATTTATTGGCCAGGAGAAGAAGTCCCAGCATTTAAATAATAGTAAAAGAAAAAAAAAAAGCTTGTTAAGAGAAGGACTTAGGATGCTGACCTTCAATGGAGGATTCTGGGCTATGAATACTGAATGGAGGGAAATGCTTCCCTGTAACCTACAGCATGGTGACTAAAACCTGGAGGGGGCAGTAATGGGAAAAAAAAAAAAACCCATCCTCAGGATTTTAACTGGCTAGTTTGGTAGCTCAGACCCTACTGTGGTTATTGTATGGGAAGCCCAAACCTCTAATTTGGGGCTTTGGATTCTGTGATTTTGGGGGGGGGTAGTTATTTGAATCTCTTTGTAAATCTCGGCTTTAATGGCTAAGATCTCTACCTTGCACTCATCTCCACATAGACATGTCCATTGAAGAATCTAGACCTCAGCCTGGGATAGCACTGGCCAAGGACTCTAAACCCAATTGTTGTCCCAGGCAAAGTGATGCCAGAGTCTGAATTAAAATTAGACTCAACAGCCAACATGAAGGGACGTCATTGGGCAAAAATAATAAAGGAGCATTCAAGAGAAATGAAGCGAGTTGGCCTTTTCTGTTTTAGTTAATGGAAAATTCTTGTGTAATCCTTTAATACATTTAATATGCAGAAAAGGAGACCAAGTACCTTGAATTTGTCCCAGCTGGGAAGAGGTTCACAGCTTTAATCAGTAACTGCAAGTCATCTTCTGACCAGTTTTTACTCCCCCCTCCACCGCTGCTCGTTGACCTCTCTGAACTCTTTGATGCCTGGCGTATGCGAGCCTCTGCCTCTTCTTTCTCTTGCTTTATCTGCTCATTTACTTCTTCTATCTGCATGAATGGAAACGTGCATCTATTAATTTTAATATGTCCTTGGCACAAACCACAACAAATGCCCCCTCTAACTCTTCAGCTGCTGGAACTGCTTTCAGGCCTTCAACTTTGTTTAGTTTCTTTAGTCTCTGCATTACATTTGGCACAACACAACCCTTCTGTTCTGTGACTTCCCCAGCAAGGCACCAACATAAGGGCAATGCAGTTATGCTCACAGCATCACAAAACACCAGTGGATGCACAGGCAGTGTGAACTCATGATATTTAACTGATACTGTCAATTAGTGTTTTACCTTATGGGGAGGCCTAGACTGACTGCTCACACTTGGAGCTAGATCCACAAAAGGACTCAGGAACCTGGAATGACAGTTAGGGGCAGTAAGATGCCTACGTCCAAAACACAAATCTTCAAAACCCCTACTCAGCTGCTGCCTTAATTCAAGAGGAGCTGTAAGTTCCCATAGGCCTAATTTCTGCCACCAAAATTCCCCAGGCATCTCTGGGCATGACTAACTCTTGTGAGCAGTCTTTCTAGCTTAGGTACAAGCAGTCTACCTGCAGCAACATAGGCATCAGCTGCTAAATACTTAT